CACAAAGCCCCCCCCTCCCCCCCGGCTCGGGCGCCGCCGCCGCCAAATCCTCAGCCGTTCATTGGCCACCGGCCGCGGTGCCTGCCGGGAAATGCAGTCTCGCGCTGGGGCACTGAGAGGAAAGGAGGAAGAGGCCCGTCAGCTTCTCGCAGAGGGGCGGGAGCCAGAACCAGAAATGGAAGTGGCGTGCAGAGTGTCTAGAGTCTCCGCGAGGCCGCAGGCGCTTAGGCGGAGGGAAAGAAGGGCTGGGTGCGGGGGACGGCCGCAGAGCTGAGCGGGGCGGCGAGGAGGCTGAGACTCCTGGGGGAGTGCCGGGGGCGCCTCCTCGTCCTGGAGCCGCGGCACGTACTAGCTGCCATGTGGTGCTCCGCGGAGAGGCCCCGCGCTGCAGCCCTAGGCCTGAGGAAGAACCTAGCGCCGTGCGCGACTGCACTGCCCGCGACGGGGCCGCGGCTCAGGAGCCGCCTGTCAGTCAGCTTGACAGCTGTCAGAGGAACGCCCCGACTGCGGGGCACTCTGGGACGGGAGCCTGGGTGGGGGCCGCCTCCCTGCCCGCCATAGGTGAGTGTGGGAAGGTTCCAGTGGACACGCGTTGGGAGGCCGCACGGCGCCACGGTCCCGCTCGGAAAGCACCCCTGGGCAGCAGGACGCGGCGGCCTCTTCCTGCCAGCACCCGGCGCAGGGGCTTGTGGGTAGCCAGGAGGACGTCAGCGCGACCGGCCGCGGGCGACGGCGAGGACTAGGTGCAGGTCACGTGCCGCGGCCCGCGCCTCTCCGGCGGGACCTCCGCTCCGAGGGACGTGAAGGCGCTTGGCCAAGCGCGGGGGGAATGAGGTAGTGCTTTGCACGCCCCGGGCCGGCCCGGTGCCGGGGCCCAGGCGTGCGGCCTAGGACAACCCTGCGGGGCGAGCGGGCACCGCGTTTCCCGGGGCCAGGGAGAAGTTCTGGGAACGCGCTACAGACAGAAGGAAACATAGACCCCGCTTTCCATACAGGGCTTGCGCTCCCTGCCCGGGGCTGCTCCAGCCGTTTGCTGTTTGATGACCACCACGGAAATTAACTTCTTACAGTTCACTGATTTTAATGAGCACTAAATGTGTTTAACATAACTTATATAAGGTTGATAAGCCGCGAATTAGCAGCTCCCATTATTATTTTGTTTTACATTTTTTTATTTTGTGTATGTAGTCAGAGGGCAACTTGGGAGTTGGGTCTCGCCTTCCACCTAGTGAGTTACAGAGCCTGAACTCGCGTCGTTAGGCTTGGCCGCAAGCGGCTTTTCAGCCAACTCACTAGCCCTCTTTACCGTTAATCTATAATTTTTTTTCGTTTTAACCCAGGCTGGTCTTGAACTCGGCAATCTTCCTGCCTCAGCCTCAGGGATACTGGGATTACAGGCGTGAGCCACCACAATTTTCTATTTCGTGTTAATCACGTATTTTGAGATGGGGCTCGCTGTGTTGCCCAGGCTGGTCTCCAACTGGACTCAAGCAACCTACCCCACAGCTGGGACTACCAGCCCAGGCTTTTCAACTATTTTTAACCTATGCTTTGTGTAGTTCTACATGTTAAAGGAATCAAAATCACACTTATAAAAGGCAAACTTATAATAAAATACGATATTAAAAAGTGAACAAGGGAGACCTAAGCCTAGTTTGAGCCTGCCTCAGGGAAAAGGCGCTATCATCCATCTGTTCCCCGTACCCCAGTCCTTTTTACCTCTGCCCTTCTGTGTCCATACCCCTTACCCCTCGTTTTGTTAATAAAATTGTTGCTTTAACCTGGCATTTGGATTTTCCCTTTGAGAATCTAGGAAATGTCCCCAGGAACATTTTATTTAGGGAAATAGACACAAATACTTCACATTTTCAGCATCTAACATCTCATGCAGTTCAAAACTTGCTTACTCTTCTCAATAGCAAGTGAGCAGACAGCTCTCAGAGCCAGAGTTAAGGCAGTAAGAACTTTTGAGGGGCTTTTTCTGAAGATTATGTATATGTATATATAATGTGTATATATATAAAGTCAACACTCCTGTCATTTACTCCTGTGAAAATCAAATCAATTGTGAAGTCTGATAACTGGAAATATACATTGCTTTGAACAAATGGATTTCAATGAGAAGATTCTTAACCTTCCTCTTTAGGATTCCTGACATATGGCCATGCTAGAAAAACTAGGTAAGCCTTCAAATGCTGGGTATGAACCAGTTCATATGGCTGATGAAAACTTAATTTCACTGTGCCTGTTTGTAAGTTAACACAATGCATGAGTAAGAATATTCTCAGTATAAAATGTCTCCCAGTGAACTGAAGAATATTTTTGCATCCTTTATTAAATCTTTTCCAGAAAAGTATATGTATGTACAATTACTCATTTATGAAACCATATCTTATATCTTATCTTGTAAAGCTCTTAATTTTACCATGAGTTCTCAGAAAAAGAAATGAGAGAAAAGCTTTGTAAATTTTCTACGAAACAGAATGTGAAACAAAACCTTTAAGAGGAAATTTGCATATCGGACAGGCGCAAATGGACCCCTAGCGGCCAAACTGAAAGGTTTTGTCTATTTTACATAGTCAATCCAAATTTCAGTATTTGGTTATTGAAAAATGCTGTGGGTTGAAAGTGGTCTGCATTTCTTACTAAAATTTAACTATCTTTCATCCTTACAAATTTGCTTTAGAGATGAGTAGAGTCTGAAGTGAACTCTGAGCAGTCTCCATGAGTCTGTTTTGTCTGACCTAGCTAGAAAACAGCTACCAAACTTTGTTTTTAAAAGAGCCAAAGTTGATCATAGTGACACACACTTGTAATCCAGGATCAAGGAATTCAAGATCACCTTCAGTTACATACTGAATTCCAAGTCAGCCTGAGCAACATGAAATGTTTGTTGTACAAAATAAATGAGGGGCTGGAGAGATGGCTCAGAGTTAAGAGCATTGGCTGCTCTTGCCCTGGTTTGGTTCTCAACAGCCACATGGGGGCTCAGAGCCCCCTGTAACTCTACTTTCAAGGGATCCAATGGCCTTCTGGCCTCCAAGGCACCAGGCATAGCAGGCACGTGATACACTTACATGCAGGCTCATACAAAGTAAACCTTAAAAAAGTAAGATGAAGCTGGGCGTGGTGGCGCAGGCCTGTAGTTCCAGCACTTGGCAGAGGCAGGCGGATCTCCGTGAGTTCAAGACCAGCCTGGTCTACATATTGAGTTCCAGGCCAGCTGGGGCTACAAGGAAGATCCTGTCTCAAAAAAGACCAAAATAAGGTGAATAAAAATATAAAAACTTTAAATGCTGGGCAAATGACTGGAGACAGACTTTCTAGATCTTTTAATTTCCAAAGATGGAAACCCTAGGATCTGAAGTCTCCCCAGACCTGCAGTTCCTACATTATTTCATAGCTACTTTAGTACATGTGTTAAATGTTGAGCTTTCTACACGAAGTAGTAAACATAACACCATTTATACACCAATTCTTGTGAAATTCAGAGTCCGTGTGAAGATATCACGAGCGTTCGACCCTGGAAAAGGGATGCTTTCCTTCCTCTTCCGGCTCTTGCAGCCACCCTCCCCACTAGCTCCGTCCCGCCAGCGCACCCCCGCCCCCTCCCGCAGCTTGGGAGTAATTAGAACCCGAGGGAGCATGGGGAGCCGGACGCTAGCGGCTCCTCGGCGTACCGCGGCGACCCGGAGAAACGCAAAGGTTTTCCAGGATTCAGCCAGACCACAGAGTGTAGACAGGAAACCACGCAGCTCTGGGTCCGGCAGCACCGTGTTGAACGGAACCCAACCAGGGAGTCATTTCGTGCGTGAGGAGACCTTGCAGCCCTCAGCTCGGCGGCCGTGAAGGACGCCCGCCCTTCCCACAGCTGAGCGCTCATTGGATGGTGGTGTCGTCACTCAGTGACGTCACAGGGCGAGGCTCCCAAGCTAGAGCCACAGAGACCTGGCTTCCGGCCTTTCTAGCTTGGGGGCGGGGAGGAATTGGGAAGGTTAGGGTTCCGGGCCCAAGTATCCCAGAGGCCGGGAGGGTCTCACCCTGCGCCTCCCGTCAGCCCTCGATCTGGTCCCCCAGGCCTCGGAACCCGGTCTCCACCCCCTCCCCGTCTCCTTCGGTGAACCGTCCCCGAGACCGCAACAGTCCGCCCCGGCGTTCCGCACCCGGCCCCTGGCTGAGAAGCGGAGTGCGCGGGGCGCAGAGGTGCTGGGAGCGGCGCCCGGAGTCGCGAAGCCGCCGCCGCCGGGCCTCTCCCGCCCGGTTTCTGAACCGCGCTGTCTGGGGTCTGAGGTTCCCATCTGGAGGTTGGCGCTCCCTTCTGCGCGCTCAGGGCAAAGAGGTCGCCGTCCCCAGCTGGGAAGCGCCACCTGATGCAGAAGGGGGTGGTGATGTATGGTTTAAAGGTACAGAGCTCAGGTGGGCTCTGCAGACGCACTAGCTCTAGAATGGGATCCGTGTAACTGCACTTGAAAGATTAGTAGTTACATGTATGTCTTCACCGCTACACAAATGAAATTAGTGAGTACTTTTAGACTTTTGGCGGGTAGCTTGAACAAATACAGAAGAAAAAAAAAAAACAACCTGAAAATGAATACAGGATATTTACTCTGTAACTGTATTTTGTGGTTACAGATAAGGATGTCTCTCATTTATCTGTCGCGGCAGAGTACTAGATTCCATTGACCAGAAATAAAAATGTCTTTGCAAGCCATATCGTCTTCATGAGCATCTTCGAGATCATTTCTGCCGGTTGGGATCTCAAAGTACCATCTGAAATCCAGAGCTAAGAAAATACTGTGACTGTTGGAAATGAACTTCAAGATTTTACACCTTGCTATGCAAATTTATGCCCATGCATTAGTTAAAAAACACTTAAATCCTGATATCATTTAATTGATGTCTTTTTAAAATACTAAATTGTTTACTTCTTTTGTCTAGGTCTCTGTGTTGATTAGTTAAGACAAAAAATAAATATGGCCTTCCACAGTTATAATTCATTCTTAGCTATTTTCTGGACAAGGTAAGCTTTGAATTTCCCACCAATATGTATATGAACTCATTCATCTATAATGGAAAAAATATATGTAAGAAGATTGGTGTAAAGCTAGGCATGGTGGTACCAGTCCTTTGATCCCAGGCCTTGGGAGGCAAAGGCAGGAGGATCTCTGATTTCAAGGCCAGCCTTGTCTGTCTAGTGACTGTCAGGTCAGCCAGGGCTATGTTTTGAGAGCCTATCTAAAAAAAAAAAAAAAAAAAAAAAAACACCC